GTGTAAGCAAGGACCCACCACACCTTGCTTTGCTATCAAACCTCTTGTGGCTCCCACCAGTCCACGATATAAAGACTTCAACTCTGACAGCAAGTCAGGACCCTCTGGGCCCTGGAAAGCTATACATTGTACCCAATAACAGACATGTTATGGGACTGCCACGTGCCAGTCCTGCATGTCACCGTACCAGGGAAGACACAGCAGTGCTAACATGAGAAGATGGAATGGGCCAGGAGGTGGGGAGGGTTGGGAACATGCCCATTGCACGGTTCAAAATGTCCCTCTAGCATGGGACACTGCAGTGGAGCCCTGGGTAATAGAATCTACCAGGAGGGGGAAAAGGGGAGAATCCCAGCTTGTAAATCCAGCAGCAGGAGTGCAGAACTGCGGCCCTGGAGGTGGGGGTGCAGGAACTGTGGATAAGGCATCCAGGGTTCACCCTAACACAGTGTGCCTGGCTGAGCGCACAGGACACTCTCAGGCCGCACCCAGACACTTTTGCTCTTCCCTCCTGTGATTCATACTTCTCAGTGCTCAAGCTGCACCCTGGCTCCTGCAGACAGCCCCAGGCCCAACCCTGTGTGTCCACCATGCGCTTCCTGGCTCTTGGGAGCCCTCAGGCTGCCTGCTGCTTCTGAGTCCCACGGGTGGCTAAAGAGAGGCAGGGCAACCCCACACACCCTGGCTGCTGGAGCACCCAGTGCAGCCCACAGGCTGTGGAGGTCACGTTATCCACTGAGTCCGGCCGCCATTCATCAGGGCAGCAGTGTCAGCTCGCCCAGAGGCCCCGGAAACAATCACAGATTAGCAGCAGTGATGTCAGCTAGCGGCTTGGAAAGAATCGACAGGAAGGCCTGCTGGGGTCCCATGCTCAGAGGCCTTGCTAGTCCTCGCAGGAACAGAGCAGGGTAAGGAGGTAAGTGAGAGGACGAGAAAGTAGAGGAAAGGGCATGGCAAGCCAAAGGGAGCAAAAGAACGGTTGGAAAGGGCAGAGATCCAGGCAGATAGAACACTTGGGAGAGGAGCCGCTGAGAGGGTGCAGCCAGCCACTGAGGGCTGGGTACTGTGTGAGGGGACAGAGGACACACAACTATCAGGCCATGGCTGAGCATGGCTGGCCACTGACAACTCTGCACCCAGCACATGCTGCCTACCTTGTGCCTGCCCCTTAAGTGGTCTGATGGTGTGTATATGGGCAAACAGATCTTGACTAATCATCAAGCGTATCGAGCATAGCTGAAGACAGTGCTGACACAAGGCGGGACATCCCCCCCACCCCAATCCCTAGATATTGATGTGTGGCCAGCAGGCCAGGGACCACGGTCAGGTAAGGAGTCTGGGCAAGAGGGCAGAGGAGCAGCAGCAGGTGCAAAGGCCTGGTGCCAGGAGATGGCTGTGAGGGATGCCCCACCATCCTCGCCTCTCCCAGCAATGTGGTACTGGGATCGGGTTGTATGGGTGAGTCGGTGCAGCTTGGCCTGGGAGCTGAGGTGTCCCGGCTCCTGCAGCTTTGTGTGGGGCTGATAGCCTGGAAGGCCCAGGCCAGGGGTAGAAGGTGAGGACAAGGGCTCCCTCCTAGACTGTCTTGCCCTCCTGCCGGGGACCTGCCTGACCCCAACAACCGGCTCCTAGAGTTGGCCTTTTGGGGCACAGGCTGGCTGGGGCAGAGATGGCGGCCATGCCGGCAGAGGAGGCGGCCCTGAATTAATCTGTCACTAAGACTTGGCCATGGCAGGCGAAGTCATGATTTAGATGAATAATTGAAACGCTCCGATACATTTATTATCCCTTTAGTGCAAAAGTGGCAGAGAAAGACGAGGGGTAATTGAAAAAGAATGCACAAATCTCCCCGAGAAAGCCGGCTTCTCACCGCCAAGTAAACATCTCAGCGCTAATAAACAGCTGAGGTGCTTGGGCCTTGCCGATCCCCATCCTGATTTAGGACCCGCCTCCCTCCTTATGATACAATAGAGGAGTGTTGGAGACATCTTTTATTGAGCCAATAACTGGCTTTCCACAGGGAGGTAGGGCAGAGGCCTGGGAGAAGAGTGGACCAGGTGGTCAACAGCTCCACCAGCAGACCAGGGCTGTCCCAGGCCATCAGGCCATCTCCCCTGGTGTCTCTCCATCCTGCCAGCCTGCTAAGCTTCTAGTCAACCTTCAAGGCCCAAGTCCAGTATCACTTGTTTGAGAGGCCTACTTCTAAACTGGGTCACTTGAGAGCTGAGCAAAGTCCTGAGTCCCAGCAGACAGAAGGTACCACAGGCCCACTGTCTGCCCCTCAACCCTGGGCAGACATGTACACACATGAAGAGCACCCTGTCTGCTTCACCGGTGCTGGCTGAGCAGAGGCCACAGTGAGGGGCTCCGGAGCTCAGTGTCCTGGGTCCTGACCACTGGGAGGACATTCTGGTGGTAGAATGAGGAGGACACTGTAAGGTGTAAGTGTGTTCTGAGGGCCCAGAGTTAGGGACAAAAGCAAAAAAGGAATGCAGCAGCACTTGCCAGTGTGTCTGCTGCCTGTGGCTGAAAGGATACGGCTTCTCCAGGGCCATCATGAGTGAAGGACAGATAGGGGCAGGTTGAGAGCTGAGCTCTTACAGGAAGACCTTCGGGCTCCCATGGGAGGTTCCAGGGTCTTCCTGGGGTCAGGGTTGGTGATGGGGTAACAGATGTGTCATATTTGAAGAGGGGACATGTCCAGGTATCTGGAAGGTTGCATTTCAACTTTGGATGCCAGGCCCCACCAGGCCCTGCCTCCTCCCTCCAAAGCCCTGTTCTTCAGCAACACCTGCTTTAATTTTATTAGCAGGGCAATAGCCCTAGCCGCAGAGACTCTATAAATCTTAGTTGCATTATGATGAAAGTCCGGACTCCAGGCCTACTTCCTCCAGGGTCACCGCCCCACCTGCTCCTCATCAGTCAGCCTCCCTTCACCTCTAACGCTGAAGAGGGAGCCAGAGCACCCCATGGTTTAGGGCAGGCACCAGGACATCTGCGAGCCACCGCTTTGCTCAGCCTATTTCTGTGGGCTACCCACAGGTGACTTCCTCTCTTCGTGGGAAAGCTGTCCAGACCCAGGTCCTGTTGACTGACTCCTTCCCTTCTGAGGGGACCAAAGTCAGAGATGAGCAATAACCACATGGTAGAAGGAGTGAGGTTCTCAGAAAAACCACCACAGCAGAATGCCAGCCAGGGTAGAGAGCTGAAGCCTCAGCCAGTAGTCAGGGTGGGCCCCGCTGGGAAAACTGCATTCAAGTAAAGGCTTGGAAGGGGTAAGGGAGCAGACACTTGACACCCCAAGGAAAATCATTTCCCCTGTGGAAGGATGGAAGGAGCAGTCGGTACGGAGGCCCCCAAGGCGAGAGTGTGCCGGTGCCGTCACTGTCAGTACAGAGGCCCTGAGGTGGGAGTCGACCTGTCCTGTGCTGGGAGGCTGCCTTGGCTGTAGCCTGGTGGGGAAGGCCTGGAGTGCAGAGGTGAGCCTGAGAGGTAGTTGGGGGCCTCCTGAGCCACAGCGAGGGCCTGAGCTGTGATTCTCAAGCGGGTGAGCTGGTCAGGAGCAACAAGCTAAAAGGCCTACATGTTCCCCTCATCTTTTACCTGCCCCAGAGGGACAGCTAAAACCCTAACTCCTCACAAGGTTTCTCAAGCTCTTGCGGCTCCTCTGGCCTCCTGGCTGGACTCTGAGGCCTCTGACCAGCTGAGGCCCCCAGTGCCCTCCTCCCTTCGTCTTCAGGCCTTTACCTGTCGGTTCCCTCCACTCAGGACTCTTCCCACCTCTCCTCACTAGTCCAGGCCCTACCTTTCTCCCTGAAATTTCCCTGATGCTCAAGCTGAGCAGGCGCTTCTGGCTGAGCCCTGGTGTGTGGGGGACCCCTCACTACCCTATCATGTCTGGTACCTCAGGCCAGGCCCCAGGCAGGATCTGTCAGCATCCAGCTGTCCAGCTCGCAGTCCTGAGAACAATAGGTGCTGAGTACCGAGTGGTGAATGGGGGGGTGTGGGGTGGGTGTGCAGGAGGGGCACTGGTGGCACCAACCATGGAGGGACCTGATCCCCTTATAGGGCAGGCCTGGGAAGAGGTCCCCATCCTGGGAAGCAGTGACCTCCACAGGGACAGCTAGAGGACAGCGGGGAGGGAGGGGAAGCCTCTTAAGCCACAAACAAGCCCCCTGCATCCTGGCTGGTCACCGACAGCTCTTAGCGCCCTGCTTATTTATTCCTGACCTTCGCTGCCCCTTTTATTTTTCCCCCTTTTAAAACCTGGCCTGGGCCCTACCACCGCTGCCGTAAACACGGCCCCCGGGATTTATCCGACGGCGCATTAACCCCTGCCCCCTGGCTCACCAATCATCTTGCCGCTGTGCAGACAGTGGCTGCCCGGCAGCCGGGGGGCTGAGGGGCTGACTGGGCGGCGGGAGGCAAGTTGAAGCAGATGGGGAGCCACAAGGCTGCCCCTCTGGAGGCATCTGCTACATCGGCCTGCATGCCCGATGGCCGGCCACCCTGCTCTCCACCGGGGTGGCTTCAGCATCGTGGTGGATGCTCCAAGGGCACGCAGGGGCGTCTTCCCCACCCCCCGTCACTCACCTACACCCCACCTGGTGTTGCAGTGCCTGCCCTGCGTTGGCCTGAGATAGTGCTTGGCAGAGACACCTGGGGGTTTTCAGTGCAGAAGCGGATACTGTGCAGAGGCAGCAGAGAGACTGAGGGCGGTGAGTAAGGAGCTTCCAAAGGCCAAGCGGTGTCAGCCACAGAGTGAGACTTTGTCTACCATCCCGCAGGCCCCAGCCCCAGCCTCTTCATTTACAAGCCAGGAGGCTTGGGTTCAGATGGCAGTCACCCAGCAAAGGAGCCAGGCCCCAGCCTTACCGATGGGCATAGAGTGGTGCCCTGACTGAAACAGCCTACCTCCGACTACTGAAGGGTGACACGGAAGACCCACACCCAGCCCCTCCCCCACCCTTACCAGAGACTCAGAAGGTCTGGGTACGTACCTCCTCCGCCTCCAAGCAGGGAGCTGTTGGCTGCAAGAGAGAAAGAGAGAGACAAAAGCAGGTTAAGTGTGGGAGGGGTCAAAGAAGGAGCTGTACACGGGGCAGAGGGTCAATCAGATAGCTGGGGAGCCTGGGTCCTGAGTCTCTGGGCACAGGGATGCCCAGCCCTTTATGCAAGAGCCAATGGTGGGGTGTTGGGGAGCTCCTAGTGCGCCTGGGTTCTCTAGGGGACCAGGGAGTGGGCGGCATGGGAGGGTCACCAAGACGCTAACGTGTGGTAACACACAGGCTTAGGGCACACATGTGCAGGTCGGAGGACAACCAGCAGGAGCTGGTTCTCTCCTTCCGTAGTGCGGACCCCGGGCTCTGAACTCAGGTTGTTGGACTTAGCAGCAGACGCCTTTACTCACTGAGTCATCTCCAACCACCCACCACCCCTTTTGTTTTTTGTAAGACAGGATTTCTCTGTATAGCCCTGGCTGTCCTGGAACTGGCTCTGCAGACAAGGCTGGCCTCGAACTCAGAGATCCGAATACCTCTGCCACCCAAGTGCTGGGATTAAAGGCGTGCGCCGCCACTGCCTGGCTTCACCTCTCGAACCCTCTTTTTTAAACACAGAGCTTCCTGAGACCAGCATAGGTAAGGGGAGGCTAGGGAAATAATGGTCCTAACCCTCATGACCCACAGGCTGCCTCGTCACACAGTTGGAGGCCACTTAGAAGGGACTGCACATGGGGCATAATAGCACACACTTTTAATCCCAGCCCTCAGGAGGCAGAGGCAGCTGGCCCTCTGTGAATCTGAGGCAGGTATGGTCTGCATAGTGACTTCCAAGACAGTGAGGACTACACAGAGAGACCCTGTCTCAAAAAAACAAAAGAGAAGAAGGAACTGCACCAAGACAGGGTAAGCGCTGTTAGGGAGCTAGCAGGAGGCCATGGAGCACCTGACAGAGGAGGAAAGCCTGAGCACCAACCAGCTCTTGATGGGTGGGGCCACCGACTACGGGCCTGTTTCCAATGCAAACTGGGGAAGAACACCACAGCCCACAGGATTAGGGGGAAGGCCACGAGAAAGGAATCAGCTTTGGCCTTGCTATAGGAAGGTTCCCCGCTTTCTGCCTGCCTGGAGGGCACCCACTCAGGGTACCCTCGCAATGGGCCTCACCGCCACCATGCTGCTACCTTCCACATTAGCCAGAGCCATCTTGCTCTGCCCAGCTGGCTGCCCCTCCTGCCTTACCATGCAGACATGTGGCTGACCTATAGGTGAGGGAGGTTGGCAACCTCTCTGTCACAATGACAGAGCTGTGATGATCAGTGGCCCTGCTCAGCCTGGGGTCCCCTCCTGGCCACAAGGCCTGCATCCCTAAGAAATCCCAATGCCAACCAGACAAGGAGCTAAGGAAGGCCACACAATCCCCTGAGACCCAGTTGTTGTCCGAGTGGGAGGCCCAGGCGGTCTGGCTCCCAGGCTGGGCCTTCAGGTCCTTCCAGGGTTGAGTCTTATCCACCTTCCTGGGCTTGCTGCTTTAGGGTTAGGGGCCGGACTGTGGCCCAGGGCTTTGTGCGGAAGCTCTGGATGCTGCTAAGTGGTGTCGGGTGGCTCGCAGTGGCTGGCCTCCCAGACCTGACAGCTCTTCGCTTGGGGAATAATTAATTCCACAGCCTGAAAACCCAGGGCTGCAAGTTGCCACGTTACTTTCGAGATTAATACAAGCAGCTAATTAAGATGGAGAAGTGAGGCGCGGCCGGGAGCTCCTAGAACCAAGCGGGAGCCGTGGGGACGAGGAAGGAGCCAGCTGAGCGTGTGGGCGAGTTAGCTGGAGACACTACAGGCTAAGAGCTGAGGTCAGCCACCGAGGGGACCCCAGGAAGGGGCAGGGTGCACAGGTCCCATTCTGGTCCCCAGAAGCTCTCCAGGACATGATTCTATGGAAGGAGCAGATCCTGAGCAAGAGACAGGCTGCTGCTCTTCTTAAAGTACCCTACTTATCATCACAGCACATCCACCGCGGAGGGACTCCTGTTCCCATTTTACAGAGAAGGAAGCTGAAGCTGAGAGAGAGAGAGAGAAATTGGACAGTGCGGGTGGGTGTGGGGTTAGGGTGGATGGGAGCTGGGGATGTCGTCCATTTCAAGGGTTTGTGATTGCAGGAATCTCTGGGTTGGATTTCTAACCATGCATATACCAGATATACAGGTTTCCATGTATAGACCAGACATGTATAGTAGCTGATGCCTGTAATTTTATTACTCTGGGAGGTGGAGGCAGGAGGATCAGAAGTTCAAGGTCATCTTCTAGTACATAAGGAATTCTAAGCCAACCTGGGCTACGGGAGACCTTGGCTCTAAATAAATAAATAAATAAATAAAGGCTAAATCTGGGTCTCTCCGAACTGGAAGGCAGGCCAGAGGCTACACCCCCCTGGCCACGCCTACTCCCTCAAAGCAAGGAGGAGCACTTGCTCCAAGTGGGGCAGGCCTGGCTGTAAACACCAGGGTCTGTACTCTCCTGCGTGGGATGGAAGATGAGACCTCTCAGGTGGGCCCAGGCCTGACCCCAGCCCCCTGAGCCCCTGGGGCAGCACTGGCAGCTGTCGGAAGCTGCCCTCCACGGCCCTTCCCATCTCCCCCCATCACCTCTCTCTTAATTAACACCGGCTGCAAACAAGCTGGCTCCTGCTCAAAGAGGGCACAGTGCCAAATGGGTTGGCAGGAAGCCTTGCTGGGGCAGGAGAGGAGGGGCAGAGACCTGGGCTGGGTGCGCAGACCCCAGTCAGAGAGAATGTCAACCCCGGCTGCCCGACACTCCAAACCAGGCCCCCACTGACCCTGGGGAGAGGCAAGTAGGGTGAATGAGTGATGTCCACCCAGCCAGGGGCAGAGAGAGAGGAATGGACCTGGGACAGGCCAGGTGTTAAAAGGGCAGGCGAAGCCTGTCGCCTTCTTGGCCTGTGGAGAGATCTGTGATCAGCCAACCTGCCCATGAAGGGAGTCTTTTTGTTTTTGTTTATCTTTTTTTAAAAACATGGTCTCATAGCCCAGGCTGGCCCCAGACTTAGTAGCCAAGGATGACTACATAGTCATCCCTGAATTTGGAATCCTCTTGTCTCCATCTCTGGAGTTCTGGGATTCCAGGCCTGAGCCACCATGCTTAGTTTATTCTGTGCTGGAGGTGGAACCCAGGGCCTTGTGCATGTTTAGGAGCGTTTTGCCAACTGAATGACACCCCTAGATGTCTGCTTATTTCAAGAGAAACAGGATTTCACTCTGCTGCCCCATCTGCCAGAACTCCTGGCCTCACGAAATCCTCCTGCTTCAGACTCCCAGAAGCTCAGCTGGGCATACAGGCACATGCCACAGAATCCAGCGTTATCTTATTTTTAAAGGATTGGCTTACTGTCTATGTGTCTGTGTGTCTGTGTGTGTCACCTGTGTGTGCCTGAGGATGCCAGGAGAGTTCCTGGAGTCACTTGGCAGACACCTGTGAGCCACCTTAGTGGGCACTGGGAACTGAACTCAGTCCTCTGAAAGAACAGCAAGCAGTCTAACTACTGACGGTCTCCCCAGCCCTCTCCCCTCCCCCTTCTTCAGGTGTCCAGCCTTTTTATTTGTTACTTTTTTGAGACAGAGTCTCTCTATGTATTCCTGTGTGTCTTGTAGCTCCATACACAGAGATCCTCCTACCTCTGCCTCCCAAGTGCTGGGATTAAAGGTTCTTTGAGGTACAGGAGGGGCTGGAGCTGATCCAGGCTCTGGTGGCATGTAAATCTACATCACTGGGTACAGTTTCTAGGCCAGAGGACACACATGTGGCTGTAAGGACATGTAAGGTTGTAAGGTTTGGAGTCCTCTGCCTGCTCTAGGCGGCTTCTTGTCACCTGTCACGGACACTGCAGATGAGAAGCTCCCTCCCCGTGGGTGGGTGTGATTTCACCCCACTCCACTGAACCTACCCAGCCGGCTTTGGGCCCTGTGAACTTGAGGTGCCCCTTCAGGTCACTCACTGCAAGTCCCCTGAATACCGAAAGCTGAGATTTGAGGTGCCTCTGTCCGTGCCTCCCCCACGTTCTGCAGGCTCACTCTGACCTTCCTGCTGCTCCTGCCATGTCCACCCCCAGCTCATGTGGCATGGCACCTCTCTTCCACCTTCTCACGCCCTGGCGCCTACTCTACTCTATCACTGCCATCCCTGAGGATGGCAGAATAGGGACTCCCAAGTGTGTGGCCAGGCTCTTGGCCTAGTTAGGTACTGGCAGGTGGCCACTGCCCAGTGAGAGGGAGAGGGCCAGCCCCCGAGAGTTTGGCAAGTGCCACTAAAGATCAGAGGAAGTCCAGGGACAAAGGTGGCACCCTGCCCTGCTTCACTTTCAACAAGAAACTTCTTATTTCTTTCTTTCTATCTATCTATCTATCTATCTATCTATCTATCTATCTATCTATCTATCTATGCAAGGGAGAATGACCTTGAATTCTTGATCATCCTGTTCCTGGGTCCTGGGACTGCAGGTAAAAAGCTACCACGCTTAGCTTTAGGAAACGTTTTAAAAAATGTTGTAATATTGCTGGGCCCGGTGGCACATGCCTATAATCCCAACACTCTCAGAGGCAGAGGCAGATGGATCTCTGTGAGCTCAGGGCCAGCCTGGTCTACAAAGTGAGTACAAAGTGTGTAGCTAAAGCTACACAGAGAAACCCTGTCGCAACACTACCCCCCCACAAATGTAATATTAAAATATTTCTGTAAAAAAAAAAAAGTCACACGATGGCATTTAAAATGTTTTTACTTGGCAGGGGGACACCAAGGCACAAAGCCTACATGGTAGCTCTGAACTTGGCTGGACAGGGCACATGCAATGCTCACCAATCTGGGGAGACACTGCCTCTACCACGGGGACAGTCTCCTCACAGTGTACATTGAACTGTTTCTCTTTTACCTCAGCTGCCCAATGAAAACTTTCCCAGGGCTGGGAGTATGACTCAGAGGCAGAGCCTAGCTCACTGTGAAAAGGTCCCAGGTTCCATCCT